GAGTTTTTAATTCTTTTGTGAGCAATTTGGTATAAACAAACTTGGGAAATGATTATAAACTCATAAAGGCACATAACTTAAACTAGAACACAAGATTCAAACTCAAACAACATATTTTAGACTAAGAAAATCTTTATAAATTGTATTTCAAACTTACATAGTCACATTTCGCTGCATCCCGCCAAGATTATTTCTTTAAAATGTTTCCAGGTATTATCCACAGGCTCTTTTTGCCATACAATGTTTCTTAAACTCATTCTTGTGCCAAAATTCAGTTAAATTCGTCCACATTTGTTAGAAATACGTATCTAAATTTCCCCGCCATATTGGATTTTGTTGTTTTGATTTCCCGCTCCCCCCAGCCATCACGAAAATCATTAATTGCACTCCTGGAGAGTGCAATTAATGAAATAATTGCACTCCTCTTAACCAATCAGATTGCAGTAATTTTGTTATGTATATAATAAATAATTTAATCGTTGTTGTGCCGGTTTGGGTATAAGTGTAGACATGTCAGTAGTATAATTCCATTCTGAACTTGCTTTGTGTTGTCGATTTTATTCAAATCTGCGACATTTGTAAGCCATTCTTGACACGGTAATTCACAATGAATAATGTGTTTTAATGCAAGCTGGTATACATGAAATTACAGCGAACGTTATCTCGAATGTTATCGTTATTAAGCTAACGCATCAGTTGCGTTTTTATGTTTGTTTATGGTCTTAATACTTTATGTGGAATTTAAAATACTCCATCTGTTAAGAAAGGCGAGGTGTTGCTGCATGCATATATTTCCTAGTATAGACTCATTTTATTTAAGCTTCCACTGCTTAAGAAAAAATGGGGCATCTTCATATTAACCTGTCAGCACAAGATAGGACATCTTTCTGGCACAAAGCTTTTCACTAAAAGTATTCTAGATATTATTCCAAAAAGCTACAGCACTAGCTGCACCGCCTAACTCTACTGACTTAGCGTGATGTAAAGAAAACATAAGACTCCTTTTAAGCTTCCACTGGTTAAGAAAGGATGGGGTATTTTCATAACCTCACTGTAAATTTTAAGGTGTTGGATCAATGTCAGCAAAATATGGGATATTTTTCACTAAAAGTATTCTAGATATTATTCCGAAACCTAGCGCTATCACTGCATGCACCACTGCTTTACTCTAACTTAGCGTAATGTAAATAATAATATAGGTTATAAACAAACAGACGTAAAAGCCCTGTTTTTTGGCGTTTCGTTGTCGTGAATCCACTGTAAACTGCTCGCCCGAAAGGTGTCGAGAAAATCAGCATATTCACGGATTTCCCCCAATTAGATTCTATTGAAATCTTTACCAAATGTTTGAAAATACACACAGATCAGCCAGAATACAAAAATTTGGACTATCTTTTAATATAGCATGAGAAAATCAACAAAATGTCCACACAAAATTATCGCTCACTCATTAGTAAAATATGTGGCAGCCATGGCTTGGCCGCGGGCTCGCCCCAATGTTCTGCACCCCCAGCAAAATGGCGGAATAAACCTTGAAAGGGCCTATTATAGTGATGATAACCTGGTTTGTATGTTAGCTCAGTCAGTCATTTGCTACATCATACATCTATGGGGTTAATTTTCATGCACGCATGAATTATTTCGCTATAAAACCATTATACATGTCACTGCTCTTCCCACCTTGACTAATAATGCTGCGGTAACCAACACCTTCAAAGATAATTCAAATTATAGGCCTGCGGGTCGTCATGTAAGTTTGAATTCTGCAGCCAACGGCGAAATGTGAAAATACGATACTCATGACGCACATTTTAATAACCAATTTTGACAATTTTAGCTAAAACAATGTTCCACCTGAACGTTCCATGGACGTTATCAGAAGGTGTTAAAGTGACATCCAGTGAACGTCCCTAGAAGTTTTGCACACGTAAACCAGTCAAAAGTAACATTTAGGAAAACGGGCTGTTAAGGTTTTAGAGAGGTTAAGTCGGACCAAACCAAATTACAACCTCGCAACGTTGTGATTACGTCCTGTGCTAGCTGGGAAGCGACTGTGCAGGTCTTATTACAAATTTCTAGTTTGCAATATCGCAATGACGCATGATCCAACCCGACCCTGTGATATATATGAGAAATAATATATAAGAAATTCATTAAACAAATAATGCTTATAAGTAAACCACAAACCAAAGGTCCAAGACACATGTAGAGGTCCTATTACCTATCCCCAAATTAAAATATGACAAATATGTTGTATGCATGCATTTTGTACTTGATATACATATTTGAGTTGATTAAATTTCAGTTTAATTAAGTCTTTGGTAAAATGTATACTAAAATTACTGAAATTTGCCAGATCAATGGACCTTTCACCTTTTGACTAAAATTTAGATCTCAACAATTAAGTCTAGACAAAAATTTTATCACAGCTTGAAAGAGCATCACAAAATTAGTAATATTCCGAAGTTTCGTTGCGAAATGTTGTAAAATGCGAATAATATAGCCTTGCGAAGTTTGCCATTTTTCAGTCATTTTGTATTACGCGCGGGAAATACATACCTCCTTCGGAAAAAGGGTATGTATTTCCCGTTTGTAATACAAAATGACTGAAAATTGCAAACTTCGCAAGGCTATATTATCCGCATTTTACAACATTTCGCATCGAAATTTCGGAATATTACTAATTTTGTGATGCTCTTTCAAGCTGTGATAAAATTTTTGTCTAGACTTGTTGAAATCTAAATTTTAGTCAAAAGGTGAAAGGTCCATTAACAATACTTTTATAGCTTATAAACCAAGTATGTGATTTATGCTGGAATGTCAAAATATTTAATATTTAAGTTGAGTTGTTCAAAAACTTCAAAAGAAGAAAATCCTGAAAGTTTTACCAAAAGAAAACAAAGTTGTGTAATCGATATCAATTCATAAGGAAATAATTCGCAAAAAAATTAGCGGGTTAGCCTTTCTCACGAATCGAAGGCCAAATTAAATCCGACATTTTGGGGATACTGCTTGTCTGCCCTCGTGAATAATTTGAGACAATTCAAACAACGTGAAAAGCAACTTTTCACAGTTTTAACCGTAAATTTACCATTATACAGCCAACTACAATAGTAAAAAGTTGTATTTCGTCGTGCGGAGACTCTCAAACGTGGTAGGGGCAGTACTCCAAAAATGGCGAAAAATCGGCCATGAGAAAGGCTAATTGACATTAAAGCTTAAAAAATCAAGATGAATATAATTAGCTATAACCCCCTGTTGCTCTGGAACTTTTCCTAAAATACCTCAGACGCGGTCGCAAAACTTGCGAAAATATAGTAAAATAAATAAATTTATTCAAAGCAGAAATGAATAATACATGTATATCACCGCTAAATCACTTACCTGGTTCAAAAGAAGATATATTTACGATATAACAGGTTCTTAACCAACAACACACGGTACTTTACTCGGTCTGAAAATTAAATAAATGTCGTTTATCTTTCACATCATATGATCATATGACGGCATTACGACCAAGTGACGCGACGTCAATATCCTATAATGCCCACATATGCACGTTTACAGTCCTAAACCGAGGAGGAATAAGGGTCCTCCCGAAATGCCACGCGCGAATCTGTGCGGCTCATTATTATTCGTGCTATTTATTCTCAACGCGCCGTTCGATTAAAAACTGTTGAAATATATTGCGATTTTTGCTGTGAAGATCTCGTTTTCTCAAAGGTATGTTTAGATAACCTTTTTGTTTAGTAATTTAATAAAAGAAGTTTTGAATAATTTTGTATATATATCGCATTTTACTTAGTATGTTAAATTCCCATTGTATTTATGCATGTTTTGGGTGTTGGAAAAGTGGCATTGAAATATACTGGAGTAAATTGTACTTCTTTACAAGAAAACTAAAATAAAATTACATCAGTGAATTAAGGAATGTTTACTAAAGATATTGATACTTTAAAACAAGAATTTACTCCATAAAATC